TGATGATGATGATGATGATGGTGATGATGGTGATGATGGTGATGATGATGATGATGATGATGGTGGTGGTGGTGATGATGATGATGATGATGGTGGTGATGATGATGGTGATGATGATGATGGTGGTGATGATGATGGTGATGATGATGATGATGATGATGATGGTGGTGGTGGTGGTGATGGTGGTGATGATGATGGTGATGATGATGGTGATGATGATGGTGGTGGTGATGATGGTGATGATGATGATGATGGTGGTGGTGATGATGGTGATGATGATGATGATGATGATGATGATGGTGGTGATGATGGTGATGATGATGATGATGGTGGTGGTGATGATGGTGATGATGGTGATGGTGGTGGTGATGATGGTGATGATGATGATGATGGTGATGATGGTGGTGGTGGTGGCAGGGTCTTAGCTAGGATTTTAGATCTTGGGCGTGTTTCTAAATGACCAGGGTGTGCCCATGTAATAGCCAAATTCACGGTTCTAGTTATGCTTGCCAGCAACAGACAATGCCTGTGGTTGTTGTATGAGTTGCAACCAAATACAAGGCTATACGCTCACACTGCGTACTGACATTAAAATAGTATAAGTTATTTTAGCAACTCTTGGGGGTATTTAAAGCCATTTTAACACCATTCCCATTATCCATCAAAACATCACGGATGACTTTTGCCAAATTCAACAACAACAGTAGTTGTCGTAAATAGGAAGAAATTCTGTCTGTTGTAAGTAGCAACACGTTATTTTATGAACGTACACGGCCTTATATAAATAATGAAGCCGCGTTCATTTTATCTAGCTGTGTTTTTCCATTTTTGGCCGCGATAACACGGCCAACACGGCCCTCTAGCTAAGACCCTGGGTGGTGGTGATGATGGTGGTGGTAATGATTTTCACTTCAAACATTAACTGCATTGTCTTCATTTAGTTTGGTTCAGCTATCAAATTTATCTCTTCATGAATTGAAGGAAAAGATCAGACAAGGTAAACATGAAGGAAGCAATATCTAGTCTTCCTTGTATTCTGTGTATTGTATTAAAGTGTATACTATTTACTATTGCTTACTTTCTTGAAAGATGGTATTCCAGATTTTGAGCTGTTTATTCCATATGTTAAGAGAAACATGAAGGAAGCAATATCTAGTCTTCCTTGTATTCTGTGTATTGTATTAAAGTGTATACTATTTACTATTGCTTACTTTCTTGAAAGATGGTATTCCAGATTTTGAGCTGTTTATTCCATATGTTAAACATGAAGTTCAAACACATGGAACCTACCTTGCTCAAACACAGAACCTAAGGTAAGTTTGCGGATGATTTGCTCTACTAAAACAACCTTTACATACTGTAATTTGTTGGGCTGATTTTGGGTGTCGCTGACGAGTATTTTCAATTGATGATGTCATTTTACTGTACAGTACCTAACTTTTTACAGAACGTTGCTAAAGAATAATTTGATCCCAGAATTAAAGAAATCTATTGATCAATTGAAAGAGGAATGCTACTCCTTTGTGGATGAAACTGTTCATTCCCCTGTGGTCTCTCTAGAGTCCTTTGTAAGTACACAGTGTCATATTATAATGTGTGCATTTACTGTAGTCTCAGTGTGGTACTGTGGTCTCTACAATATGCAGTTGTGTGATTATAATTTCACCTCAGTTTCAGTTTTATATTCTAGCATGACTGTACCAAAAACCTCAATTTTTTTCAGGACTTTGGTCTAGGTTTATTGCCTGCTACTCCATCACCGGCTTTCATCACTTCCGGACATCTTACTCATAGTGCAAGTAGAATGCCTGAGATCTCGTTGAAAAAGACCCCGAAGAGCCAAGGTGAGACAGATCTAGAATTAGGAGCGATTAAAGAAATATATTATTCAAAATGTTTATACAGTACATTAATACTGTATGTGAAAAAGGATGAGTAGTATTTCACAATCTAGCCTTAAAATAAAATTTATCTTACAGCTACTCCAGATGTCATTGAAAATTTGACAAGTAGCATTCGAGAAATGGTTATCAGGGGCAACCAACAACCAGGTATGTTTGAACATGGTATGAACATAGTTTGCCTAGACAGTATAGAAGTCAGGTCAAACCTTGTATAAAATTGAAATAATGGCCAGTGTTTCGTTTTCAATATTTTAGATGAAAATCAATTTCAATCTGAGGTTCTTAGTGCAAGGTAAAATATCATAAGCTGTCATGGCTGAATGAATTTGTTAGCCAGTCAGTGAATTGTAGCAAAGGCCAGGCTTAAGCTTGTAGCTTTTAGTCTATACTATCTCAAAATGTTTGGTTATTTTCCCCATAGGACTTTTGATATAAGAGAAACACCCAAAACTTTTGTGTCCAAGATTCCCAAACCAGTGAATCGTAGACTGAGTCAAACTCCAGATGTAACTACCAACAAATCGATGGCTGTAAGACGCAGATCTTTAACAACTACTAAGAAACCAAAGAGGACAAGGGGTGATGGGGTTAAAATGGAGAAGGTTGATACAAAGAAAGGATTTCCTAACACTGGAGTGACTGGTTCAAAAGATGGGTCACAAAGGAAAGTGGTTGGTGAAAAGAAACTACATGTAGGTTTGATGTTGTAGTCTGGTGCTGGTGATGGTGGTAGTGTTGACAGAGATAGATGCCATTATCACCCCATCACCAGATTTATCACAATCATCATCATACCCCTCACCATCATCATCATCATCATCACCATTGTGGTGATGATGATGGTGATGTGATGATGGTGTTGGTGATGATGGTGTTGGTAATGATGGTGGGTGATTTGGTGATGCCGTGGTAATAATGGTGATGATGATGGTTAGTGATGGCAATGATGTGTCTTGTCTGTTTAGGTCACTAATACCAATGCCAGTGATCATCAATTCAGAACACCTTTAGCAACTGGAACAAGGTCATCTTTTATGAAACAGCATTCATCAGCCAGGAACATTTTGGCAGAAAAGGTAAGGATATAAGTCTCACTGGTGCTCACTAAATGAATAGTTTGTGTGAATGAAGTATCATTTCCATGTTTAGATTGCCGCAGCAGTGTTTTCAGATGAGCCATCAAGTCTAGTGGGATCAACACAAAGCTCCTCTGAAGACAACACACCCAAGGTAGGGTAATAGGGTTTTTCATTTTGAATTAAAACGCACTACATTACGATCAACCCTGTGGTCTGTGGTCCCCCCCTTTGCATTTGACGAAAATTTTTCAAAGTAGTTGTTTTGATGAAAGAGATGGTTTTCGACAATTTTCAGAAAGTTTGGAGTATGTTGAGGCATTTTTTGAATTCTTAAAATAAAATGCTGTGGTCTCCACTTTTTTAAAGTATGGTACAATTGCATTGGTGGTTTTTAATTGTTTTTTGTTTATCTTCTAGGATTTGGCTATTGCTGACCCACTTGGGAATCTAAGTAAGTTTTCTCTCATTCTATTTTTTTAACACTCATGACTGTTGTGGGTTATTCTTGAAGTGTATTTTGTGATAAAAACAATCTTTAATTTAAACTTTTTCTATTATAGCGGAGGCACCTTTCATATCAAAGGATCTTATTCCAAGAACTCCATTCAAAAGGGACAAGTTTCTCTTGGGTAAGTAGTAGTCTTTCACACTACTACACTAGTCTTAATCTCTGCTAAATGCAGTTGTCTGATTAAAATGTTCATTTTTTGTCATTTCCATTATACCACTCACTTTTTACTTTATTGACTAAACATCTTAAACATGCCTGCATGTGTGTATTGTTTCAGATCCAAATGACGATGATGGCCCAGGATCAATGAAATCACACGCAACGGACCATAATATGACAACAACGAACAAACAATGTCCAAGTGTGGATGCTACATTGCTTCTAGAATCACCATTATTAGAATTTGATACAACTGTTATGAACAATGGTGTTTCCAAAAGCAACACCAAGTCGCCAATACGATATTTACAGCAAACGTCACCAACTGCACATGTAATGTCACCATTTGAGAGTCTGACATCATGTAAAGTCCAAGTCAGTCCAAGCCCTGTAGTAAGTTTTGGAGATCTGGTTAAAGATCAGTCTACCTCAGTCAGTTCAAAAACTGTTAACACTGCTGCTACGTCAGGAACTACCCATGTATCCAGTGACATCATTTTGCAATATCAACGGTTAAAGAAAGCACAAGAGACCAATGGCTTACTTCAAAATAACTCTCCTCAAACTCCAGAAATATTCACTCGTCCCACCATAGGGAATGGTGAAAATCTTGCCACAGTGTCAGGTGGTGAAGATAGTGGTCCACGCCTGCAACCTCCATCTGTCAGTGCCAGTTACATTATGCCACCGTCACATACAACCAACCCTGCATTATTACGCTACCAACAATGGAAGAAAGTTCAGGAGGTGTTTCCAAGTTCTGGTACAAAGGTCACTAGTCCTCGCCTGCAATCCACAGGTGTTATGGTCAGTGGGGCCTCCCTCACACCAGAAATTAAGTCACACAATCTATTGCAACACTACCAAGTGGGTAGTCACACAAGTGACGTCACTAGTCCTCACCCAAGATCAACCGATATTATGGCTAGCAGAGCTTCCCATGCTTTGGAAATGATGTCACACAATCTGTTGCTAGGCAACCATGTGGGGACTTATGTCAGTAGTCCGAGTCTGCATTCACCACCCCTCAAAGTCGATGATATGTTGACACCATTCATGAATGGTCACCATGGGTTGCTAAGAGGCCCAAAACCAGAACTCTCCATGGTTGCTGATGATGTCATCAATGATGTCGATGATATCACTCGATCACACCAGCCAGCGACACATGTGACATATTCAAAGGGTTTTGCAACACCGATGGTGTCATCCATGGGGAACCATTTCTATGAATTTGGCCAAACACCTCTGGACCACATTGCACCACCAATGGATTTTACTGGTAACTCATTCCACCGTGATAGGAGGGAAAGTGTTAGGTCAAGGCTGTCGTTTGACTTTGATACTCCAGGGTCAAGCCTACGAACTTCCTTGGCACAACAGGGTTATTTGAATACACCAAGTGCTCGAGAAATTGCTAATATGAAAAGGGACGATGTGATAGGACAGAAGGAGTTTAAACTTATTCCAGTCAATACAGATGATTTGTTTCAAGATGAATATCGTTTGCCATTTGAAGAAAACATTGGGGATTTCAAGAAAGATATAGGTATGTTTTACTTTGAAGTTTGTGTTTTACCTTAGAGAAATACTTCTTGTTTAGATGGTGGTGCATTATTTTGGTGGCAAATAATAAATGAAATCGAAAGATTCAGACATGTAATTTATCTTGCTCCTATAAAGGCCGATTTACAATGCACAATTTTTGCCTAAAACTGTTGTAGGTGAGTTGTGTGCTTGATTTACACAGTACAACTCAAGCTGGTTGCATGCAACACTTTTAAGTGTCAACATTTCTTGAAATGATCTCGCCTTGATTCTGAATTGTAGAACCAGAAAATGTTAAAGAAGAACAAAGAAATTCATCTGTTGAAAATACAGACACTACCGAGGTATCGATAGACTCAACTCCACATGTGGAGGTTGGACAATTAATTGAATTTGATTGAAAGATATATATGATATATTCTTACAATTCCAGTCTGATATTAGTGGGTTTCATTGACCATTACCTTAGCTGCAGATGGTTGGTCAAACGTCAAAACTGTCTATCGATTACATGTATTGGCTTCCAAATATGTACAACGCTACAACGTACAATGAAATATAGTTTCTTACTATGACTGGTTGACCACCATCTGCACCATACTAATGCTTGATGAAACCGTAGTCAATAGAATGAGAACTGAGAATGTTAGGGAACTTGATGCAGACATATAGACCTCATTATCTGTTATTGTCTTGGTTTATAAAAGAAATGGTCGGTTCATCAACCAATAGCTGTTTTCATTTAACCATTGTGTAAACACACGTAAAAACGCACAGCTTGTAACAAGTCCGCAAACAAGTCTGTTCACAAGCTGTCAACAAGTTGTGTTCGCACTGCTTGTTCCCAGTTTGTTGTGACAAGTTTGAAACAAGCTGTTAACAACTTGTAACAAGCTTGATGGCATTATCAGCCTTGTTACAAGACTGTGCTAACAAGTTTGTTACAACCATGATATAACAAGAATGTTACAAGGTTGATGATACAAGGTTGTAACAATACTGCTATATCATGACTGTATCGGACTTGTTGGAACAACCTTGTAACAAGTCTGATAATATCAACAAGGTTGTTACAAGTTGTTAACAGCTTGTTCCAAACCTGTTGACAACTTGTGACAAGCAGTGCGAATACATCTTGTTGGCAGACTTTTTACAAGATGTGAGATTTTTGCGTGTGTATCACGACTGGGTATTTAAACCAACACACTGCTATTGGTTGGTTAGGCAGGAAAAACCCCCACTTGTGACGATGAATATCGACCATTTTTTGCAAAGACCGAGACAAAAACAGAGATATTGAGGTCTACTGTATTATGTTTGCATCGAGTTCCCTAACCTTATTCTATTGACCATGATGAAACCCAGATACATTCAGACAGATGTATATATATAAAGGAGGTGTATAATGCTTAATTATTAGGCTTATGATACAGTATATTAGACCAAAAATTAAATTATAACAATCTTTTTAAAATTCTGGATTATGGCATAGATCAATAGGTCATTTCCAAATTATGTCTATTTGTAAAATCCATGTTGTGGTTTTGTGGTAAATTATCCTGGTTGCCAGAGGTTCTGTATCTTTCGCCTTATTCCCGCTCGTATATAGAACCTCTGGCAACCAGGGTAGTGGTAAATTTACTATCAGTAGAAACATAACTTTGCATCCATTCTACTGTAATTCAGAAATGACCTATAGCAGTTGAGCTCATGCATGTTGAAAACAACTCAAAACAAGCAGCTACAAAGTAGGTGGAATAATAAGTTTCCATTTTATTTTATTCTAATCAAATGTTTGCTACAGGTCAGCTAGTGGATGCAAGAGGTGCACAGATGTAATGTAGGCGTAATTAGCTAATGAACAAAAGTGCAATATTTGAATTGAAACTCTGCATTTTACTATATTACAGCAACAAGGTATATAATTATGATCAAGGCTTGACATAACATTCCTAAAGTTCTGATCATGGTGATTGGCAGTCATGATTTTCCTTGCTTTTTCTGATTGGAAAACACCCTGCTTTTTCACCGATCATAAACAATTTCTTATTTTCTTGGTGATCAGCTGTTATTTCAAGCCTTGGTTATGATGTTACATTTACAGTATTCACTATATTATTTTGACACCATTGCCCTCAATTTTGAAAATTGAATATTACACTATTAATATTAATATATTAATATCCAGTTAGTAATTGAAGCAGAATATCAACATTGAGCTATTTAAGTATTAAATCTATTCAGTTGTCTTTTCAACTAGATCAAATTCAGCAGTAAGTAATCTGTGATCAGAAAGGGTAAATTCTGCTGGCCACTCCTGTAGACAAAACAGTGAGATAGTTAAATTATGTCATTAATGTGAAAGACTGTAAAATCGTCTTGAGGAGTAAAATTGTCTGGTGTTATCATAAAATACCAAAGTTGGGTACACTTGAGCACATTTCAACAGATAGTTTGGTTAACCCCATTATAGTGTGCAAGGCTCCCCTGACAAGTAAAATCATCTGGCATTAGACAGAGTACAGTAAAATAATAATGTCAGGTACATTTGGGTCATTGCAGCTTAACCAAACTAGACCTGACCCATTATGTTACCATTTGTAAATAAACAACAGTTCACAACTTCACCATACCTCATGTCCATATTCTGTAGGAAATAGTTTTGAGTCTGTAGGTTTAACAATACATTTTGAGGAACCTCTAAAATGCAATAAAATGAAGCAGTTAAGCGAATTAATAATACGTCTTAATCGCCCAATGACAAGAATACCGTACTTAACTGCATGTAGCTTACCGATAAAATATGAAGTCGACAGCAGTGCAATTTTCAGAGTGGTCTTTATGAGTGACCTTTGGTTCTCGACCATGGACAGTTTTATGAGCAGATTCAAAGTCTTCTTCAAAAATACACTCGCATACAGGGCTGTCTTCAGGGCCATTTATATCACCTGCCAATATCACTGGCACATTGCGATACCTAAGGAAATAATATGATACGTACACTTTCCAGAAAATACACAACGTTGGCTATAGAGCCTCATTTTTGTGTGTGTGTGAGATTAGTACCAACATCACAGTCATGAAAACGAGGCCATATAGCCAAGTGACATATTACTTTCCAGCAGGGTGCATTGCATTGACATGTAAGCAGAAACCAACAACAAGTTCCTTTACCTTCGTGAATAATTTTCAATAGCATCCATTAATTTCTTTGCTTCAGTCTAAATAAAATAACACAAAAATAAACAAAAAGGTGACGACTAGATATACACATAATGGTCATAAGGTAGGGTTTTGCAGTACTGCGAGCTTGATGGTTTAGTATAAGACAACTTACCAGTCGCAGATATTGGTCCCAATAGCTATTTCCATATGCTAAATGCGATGTTACTACAATAACCTATATAAAGACAGGTGAAGCATAGGATGAAATGACAAGGATTGAGGTTAAGATGGAAATTGACCCCAAGTACATTTGATGACATGACAGAACGACAAACAATGAATGACAAACTAACCTCATATTTTGAAGGCAGTTCCATATGAACCAATAACCCAACCCTATGTGCAGCGTCGTTGAATGTAATGTTTTCTACGTATTTAACCCTAGCAATGAAAGTAAATTATTAACATACCAGAGTCTGGTCAATGACAAGCAAAATTGTCTGGCATTAGAGAACCTTAATAAATATTTAAAGGGTGTGTTACTTTAATTTAACTGGCAAAGTGCCCCAATGCACCTTACTTTATTATTTTACTCTGTCTAACACCAGGCGATTTTATTCGTCAAGGTGAGAGTGCTTTATATATTATACCACTCAATAAGTTAATATAACTTTACGTGTTTATAATAGGATCACTTTACTTGTAACTTTTATCAACCAGCATGACAAGACCATCAGATTTAAAACCAGGACGCTTTAGTTGAATAATTTCATACCTAAAGTACAAAATACAAATTCCTATAAGTTAAAATACTTCCAAAGTTGACCGCCATCTGCTGGCCCACAATACTATACACACCTGTGACCAAGCTTTTCTCGAAATAAGTTAAAAACAACATCCTTGAACCAAAACTCTTGGAAACAGACCACATTTGCATCAACTTCCTTGGACTGCAGTAATTGCATAATTGCCTCATAACGAGGAATGTAGTGTTCTGGATGCGAACTTTCTTTTGTATACCATAAAGTCCACTGACACTTGCTACAGAAGGTGAATATATCTACATTATTTGATCATTTGCTTTGCTAGCTCAAGCTAATACTATGTTAGGGGTGACTTTTGGTACTAGGGTATATATGTATACAGAAAGTCACTCCAGATACACTATTAGCATTGGTTAACCACACTATTGTTAACCCATTAAGCCGCTGTGCACTCTATCTTGTTATTTTACCCTGTCTAACTCCAGATAGGTTTTGGACATGCCCAGTGAGCCTTACTTTGTTATTTTACTCTGTCTAATGCCAGATGACTTTACTTGTCAAGGGATTAGGGTAACTAGTTGTATTTATACTATCTTTGGAGTTTGCTTGGTATCTATGCTGCGAATTGCAACTTATTAGATCCTGTCAATATATCCTTTAACACTGTCCCACAATCATAAAGCAAAACATTGCAAAATAAATACAATTCTTGAGCAGTTTTGATTGTGACGCAGGAAACAACAATATCGATGTATATATCTGCAAATACCGGTATAAAATGTGTTCATAAAAACACGTACTTTTATCTTGCCATTTAAATATGACGTGGCTAAATATTGCAAGTATTGTATCAAAACTACAAATATGCTATAAAATTGTAGCACGTATAAAATTACTTGACAGTTGTAAATTAATACCGTACTCACTCGACAACTTTATAACACGGAGCAAGAATATTAAATGTAGCGCATTTCAAATGCCCTGTTTCTTTTGTAGCCATAGTCCTGAAGCCCTGACGTGTCAGTAGCTTCGCAAAATGTCTTAGCATTCAAGACCAAAGCTTTAAAATAACATTTTCCCCAAAAATTTAAACGACCATATTTATATTTGAGAAGGGCCTACTTTTAGGGAGCTCACAGCCTACAAGAGAGGGTGGAAACTTGCTAAGAACTGAAAAAAAGCTAAATGTCTGTATGTTATGAATAAATAAACTTTATTTTCACTAAACCTTCCGTAAGTGCACTAAAATTTATTAATTATTTTCAATAATTTCTATTTTGTAATTAAACCTCGAGTTTCAATACAGCTTTAATTTATGGATCAGAGGTTCCAGCCCGCGAACAGGCGTCTGGCGGAAAAGCGCGGGGGAATTTTTATGCAAATTATTGAAAATGGCGGCTGACCGGGTAAGGCCTGTCGAAAACGATAAAGGTTTTTTAGTTTTTAGTTGATTTTTATTTACATGGACGTGTTTGTTGCTATTACTCAAGCTAAATTGGACATTAAAGGTTCACATGAGGTAAGACGTACTTAAAATTAAATTTATTTTCTGGTATAAATTCATAACCAAAATCTGTGAAATTGTACTTTGTACAATTTTTCAACCAAATGCCAGCCTCGTCCCCAGGCTCCAGTACGTGCGTGGGCCGTGGGGTTACCGATGCGCAGCTCTGAAAGCACATCTAGGGATTTCCCTTTTCTCCTGCCCACGCGTGTTTCTCTCGAGAGATCTTTATCATAGATATCTATGATCTTTATGTGCCGGGGACGAGCCTGACCAAATGCTATAACACAGAATAGAGACCCTACAGAAGGTCGCCACGCCATGATTCGTCATCAAAGTGCACTTGCTATGTTTCTGGCGAGTGCATTTATGAGAGACAGTCACCCCCTACATGGCATGGCAACAGCATTGCAAATCATAGGCAAAACCAAGAAGCCGGCCTTCTGTAAAGTGTCTATTCTGTGGCTATAATTTGTAACTGTGTGGGACTGTTTTGTCCTTGAAATTTTTTCTTAAACAATGTTTTCAAAATTTACTTTCCGTATGCTAGATTTTTACACCAATAATATTTAATTATTTTTAAAGTGTTCCTGGCTACAACATTTATTCCAAGTTGTATGTGACAACATTTATAAACCTTCAGTCTTTACCAAGCCATGTGAGGAACTCTGCTTTGATATTGTGAACGTTGTATTAGAAAGAAATGGAAATAAACTGCCGCTTGACCACACCGTGCTCTCTGCATCAAGTCTCTGTGCATACAAGGAAGGAAATTATTTCACTGGGAAATTTGGACTAAGATCAGAAGCTTTGCCTGATCTGGCTCAAATTTCTGGTAGGTTGAATGTCATGTAGTTAATATAACCCCCTCCACAAACATCATCATCACTGCCTTTACTACCATAACAATCTCGTTCCCTGAGCCTGCGATCCTCGGGAAGGAACTTGAGGCTCTGGGATAATCCGTTTCAGGGAGGAGTCTGATTGGCCGTTGATATGGAATGTGCAGTTCGGTCTTTAGCCAGGATTCCTGGCTTCCGGCAACAGATTATCCCAGAGCCTTCAGAGCCTAACGTTCCTTCCCGAGGATCGCAGGCTCGGGGAACAAGATTGCTACCATAACTACTACCATGTACCATCTGCTCTACGGCCACCATGTACCATCTTCACCACTACCATGAACATTGTCATTGGTGACCATCACCACCTCCATTCTCACCACCACCATCATTCGCACCATCGTCACCACCACTGTTGCCATGACCACTATTATAGCCATATATCACCACCACTTCCATAAACATCATCTCTACCATCATGTACCATCATCATCACCACCATTGCCATGAACTTCACCACCACTACTTAACTGTATGATTGAATATCATCAATCACCCTCATCATGATCATTGCTACGTAGCATCAATTGTGGATTTTGTATCTTTTCTCATGTCTCCACCTTAGGGTTTAATGTCTTGGAAGAAAGACCATTGATTTTACTTGGATTTCTAACTGACATTCCAACATCAGACAAAACTCTGCACCCTGAGGCTGGCTTGTTTTATCTTGAAGATACCAACAGTGCTGTAATATGCCAGGTAGAAACATAAGCTTTTAACCTGTTCTCATACAGCAGGACATAGCTAGATATATTATGGTTAAATTGGTAACAAGGTTAAAATCATCTGGTGGCAGACCATGTTTGCTTTATCTGACTTAATGATATCACATCCATTATATTATTTCTATATTTTAGCTCTGTGAGGAATGTGATCTAGAAAAATATGTACTTAACAACAAGTTGGTTTTGTTACCAAAATGGAATTTCATTGCTATAAAATTCCCAGTCTTTGTATTTGAAAGTAAGGATTTGCAATAAGTGTATTTTGTTTTTGTGTCAACATTATATAAATTTATTTAGAGAGTGGGGAATGTGGTGATGGAAGTTATTTTTTTGTTAATAGGTGACAAAGGAAAGAAGGGAAAACGTAATTATCTAAAGTACATCGAAGTTGTCGAGGATTTAATATCTATCCAGAAGCAGGAAAGTGCAGTTGTACCACAGGCTTTGTCAATTCAAGAATTTTTGTCTAAAACAGAAGTGTAAGTATTCAAATAGCTAAATTTTATTACCACAATCTCCACCATCACTGATCATTATCTGCATCATCACTGTCACTGTCATCATCATCGTCAACATTATTACCATCACCATCATCGTCATCATCACTGCATCATCGTCAACATCATCACCATCATCATCGTCATCATTAGCCTGTGTGCAGTCCCAGGAGTCTACATCATCATTGGCACAATTGTCATCACCATAACCTCAGATGTCAAAAGCCCTGGGTTGAACCAAGAGTATAACACTTCATACATATGCTTTACTTATTTGCATATATTTTTCTTTCAGAATTAAGCCAGACAGGGTAAACATAATTGGTTGTTTGAAAATTCTCAGTTCATGCAATGTGTAAGTTAATTTAAAAAACTCATTCTTCATTCTAAACAACTTACCTCTATTCTGTACTGTTTGCCAAATGTTCACAGACTTGTCTTATTTTTTATTCAGGGTGGCTGGACAAAAACCCTACTTTCTGGCTCAGTTTCACTCACCAGAAACGGACCACTCTACATCAATTGCATTTTGGGTAAATATTCGTAATTTTATATTTACACTGTTTTGCTTCCAGGTTAGGCATAAAAAAAAATACCTGTGGTTCCGGTTTCATATCGTGAAAAAATTTGGGTTGGTAGGTCGGAAATAAATTTTTTTTGAATAATATTTTTCATGGTTTTGGTGTTTTTTTGCTGGGCGATTTGCAGTAGAGTCCCAACATCAATATTAGCTAGAGATGCGTATTTCCTATGGACGAATTTAGGCAATTTGGTTCAATAATTAGTGTGACAACAGACGCCATTTTGGCACACTGTATGAGCAGCCCACAACCACCTGGAGAAAATGGGGTCGCACGGTCGGTCGCGTTTAAAAAATAATAGGGTTGGCAGAAAAAAATAGGGTCGGTCGGGAACCGGAACCACAGGTATTTTTTTACGCCTTATCCAGAAGTGGCTGCAGATACTCTTAATTTTTTTTCTAAATTGACTATTCTTTCTTTATGTAGGGTTGTAGATTTGCATCTTGGTATAATTTCATGAAAATTGGAGAAACATATGTTATTAGTGAATTAAAGAACACAACAATGAATAAGGTAATCTGGCTCAATATCGATCACTTGGAATTGATGGCAGGTTTCACTAAATACATTTTATTGATTTGCCAAATACTACTTCATATGTCATGAAGCAACATTCAATTCTCTGCTAGTTGCAACTTAAAACAGTCTGCTATAATTATTGAATATAGTGCTTAGTGAAACATATATATTGCTATAGATAGTAGTTTGTTTTCAACCCATATATTCTTAAACATTTCCATGTAATGTTTTCTAGGGGCGCCCAAGTGAAAGAGAGTTGCTTGCAGCTACAAAGCATTCAGATTTTTATAAAGTAGATGCACAGACCTACACAGAACATGAGAATACTTCGGCAGAGTGTGATAAAGGATTGGAATTGCAGAAACGAGAAGAGCAAAAAACTGATGAAGAGCAAATGAAACGAAAGCAAGATGAAACCGAAAAAGAGCCTAAGGCAACTGTATATTTATTAACTAATATAAACAATATAAACATTACGAGTGGAAATTGGTCAGCACGGCACTTAGCCAATCAGCATTCAGAATTTACAAATGCTATATTATAAAGTCTTTTACCAAATATTTAATGAAATCCTTAGTTTATCAGGATTGTAGGAAACCCTAAACCTCATATATACCTACATCTTTTGTAGGGACATGTGAAAAAACGCAAGCAAAGAGAAGAGTATCCAGGGCCATCTACACATGTTATGCCGAAGTCTGATGTGTATTCTTGCTCTGCACCCATAAATTATGGGGTTAGTGATTGATCATGATGGTGATGATGGTGGTTGTGGGGGTGATGATGGTGGGTATGGTGATGATTGTTGATGGTGGTAGTGATGAAGATGATGTGGTGATTGTAAGGGAAGCAATGATTTGATATTCAAAATATATTTCTTATAATTAGGGAATGATAACAGCTGTGGTAAATTCAGATGCTGGTCTCTATGAAATTGATAACAAATTTAGGTAAGATTGTTACATACTAAGCTCATATTTTTCAATCTCATATTGTAATCAATACAACACTTCTTATCAGAGTTCAGACTAACCCCCATAATTAGTGTAGTAGTGTTCATGCAGGCATTTAATATCTTGATTTCAACTTCAGGTTATTTACTCACTACATGCCATGTAAAAATTTTGGTTGTGGCATGAGAGCTGGTGCATCAGTGGCCCTTTATCATATTCATTTATGTAGACGTGATCAGGTCAGTGAACTTAGAAATCTTATATAATGTAATGTGTAAGTAAGATGGGGACGTATATGCCCTGATAGTTTCAATGCAGCCATTTTTATAGGGTTGGTAGAAACTATTGAATCACATATATACTCATCCCATAGTCTGTATTCCCCAAATATGTTTCCCCAAGTACGATGCTTTATAGTGTGAATTGTCTAGTTTATAAAGTCTGCTCATATTTTTGTTTGTAGAAAGTTCTAGGTTTAGTCTGTTGTAATTCCTCAATAATCAGAGTTGTTAAGCATTCAATGTTGGATTCCCCTCTTCAGGTAAGTTTGTGTTTAGTGGAGTCAAACTGGAAGTAATCTTCTCTGTTGTGACTGAGTTAGAGAAATCAGTAACTGTACAACCATGCTGTAGTAACTGTACAACCATACTGTAATAATTGTACAACCATACTGTAGTAAGTGTACAACCATAATGTAATAACTGTACAACCATGCTGTAGTAACTGTACAACCATATTGTAATAATTGTACAACCATACTGTGCTAACTGTACAACCATACTGTAATAACTGTACAACCATACTGTAGTAACTGTACAACCATACTGTTGAGTATTAGACTGCGAGCAGTTCCAGTAGAGTATTAGACAACTGTACAACCATACTGTAGTAACTATACTAACTGTCAAGGGCACATTTTCATTTATGTAAAAGGAGGGGTAGAAAAAATTCTGGTGGGATGCAAGCGACACCACTCAGTGAGCTTCAGCACACGTTAGGCATTTGGGTTAAAGCCTTTCACACAAAATAGGAGGGGTGAAGCAAAATTTTGGTGGAGTTGAACACTTTATTGGAGGGGTTAGAGAGATTCTAGGAGGGGTTTAACCCCCCTACCCCCACCCCAGTAAATCTGCCCATGCTAATTGTACAACCATACTGCATGTAGACTACTGTACAACCATACTGTAGTAACTGTACAACCATACTGTAGACTACTGTACAACCATACTGTAGTAACTGTACAAATTACTGTAGACTACTGTACAACCATACTGTAGTAAGTGTACAACATACTGTAAACTACTGTACAACCATACCATACTGTAGTGACTGTACAACTGTATATATAATATATTTCACATTCAAACACTCAATCTCTTTTCACTAGTACTGGGTGCCTGGTGCCAGTTATATTTACCATATATTTCATGGGTTGTCATTGGTGGGTTTCAGTAAAGCACTTGATGTATGTGAACTTCTTACAAAGAAATTTCAACACACATTAAGGTGAATGGATTTAGATCTTCAATCCTAATCATTTAATTTACAATTTTCATTCCATTAATGGTAAATTTTTCATTTTAGTGGCACTGACATTATTGGTCCTAGAAAGGCTTGGCTGAGGTATTACTCTTATTACACATCTACGAGATTGAAGTTTATTACAATGTGTGCCTTCACATATTCTCTCAAATCTACATATGCAGGCAGTTGCGGAAATCTTGGTGGGGCGGGGGGGGGGGGCGGCCGCCCCCCCCCCCCCC